TACTTTCAACAACAATGCTACAGAGACAAGCTCAAAAATAGGATAAAAAGGATAGACGTGTGTCTAAGCATGATTGGACACTTAAAAAAAATTAAAAAAAAACAACCAACCACTTTCTGCCAAATCAATTGATCTCCGAATACCTGTTTTTTAGCTTATCTGACTAGCTTTATTCTACTTTTAACTTGAACTAGAAAGAACGAGGAGTGGCGACGACAAGTAGAGGATTCTTTTTATGGACAGTGCTTCCAACAGCTTCAGTCATGTCCCAATCTTTTGCTCCAACTGGTAGTGCAAAATCAAAGTTAAGCATCAATTTTGCTAATGCCAACTCATTAACAGCAATGGCAAATGTAATACCAGGGCAGCCTCTTCGACCAGAACCAAATGGAATGAACTCAAAATTTAACCCTCGAAAGTCCACTGCCGTGTTCTTTAAGAATCTTTCTGGATTAAATTCTTCGGGATTTTCCCAATGCGTGGGATCTCTTGCGATTGTCCACGCATTGATGATCACTTGTGTTCTGGCTGCAATGTGGTACCCCATTACTTTAGTGTCTTGGGTCGATTCTCGTGGAATCAGCAATGGAATTGGAGGGTGCAGTCTAAGGCTCTCTTTCATCACTGCCTTTAAGTAAGGCATTTTCTCTATGTCATCTTCTGTTACATTTAATTTGCTTCCGACTACTTGTGTCACCTCATTCTGCAGTTTCTTCATTATTTCTGGGTGCCTAAAAACCTCGGCCAATGTCCACTCCAAAGCAGTATATGTTGTATCAGTCCCTGCACCAAACATATCCTGTCATAAACAAGGAAGGGTTAGTTCATTGAATGAGTTAAACCGATAATGTAACTAAATATGTTCAACTAAATAAATGGTTTTCCCTTTGTTGAACCACCTCCTATATAACCTTAAATTGTTAGATAGATAGTGTGGGGGTTCGATTCCTGAGACATGAAATTGGACTCTTTGTAGGCACAATGTACAGACAGCTCTTATTCTCTGGCCTACTAGGACACATCCTGCTATTTATCTCCCTCACAAAACTTTAGGGGTGAGGGATCTCAAAGTTTGGGTTCAACCCCCCCCCCCCCCCCCCCCC